GTATTACATTTTGAACTGTTTTTTTATTACATTATGAATAATAAATTTTAAAGTTAGATTTTGCTAAACCAAGAAATATTTGTTACCTGATCATATCTTTATCCAGAAAGAGCAGATCTCCCATCACCAGGTCTGTTATTACATTTGCCAGTTCAAGTTCATAGTCAGTAGCCAAAAATTCATTCTCATCTAGAGGGTTCCAGTATGCTATCTTTAACATCAGTTTTTCTTTAGCGCATTTCATTTTCTTAATATGTCCATAAAATTTTGTATTTGAGCCATCTACATCCCACACGTGTGATATGATTGAGCCTTGTAGTGTGTCGGGATGAAAGACCAGTTTTTGCAGCATATCTTTGGAGACAAGAGGTGTTTTTTCCAGTAGATCTGTATTCAGTGGTTGTTTTTTGTACAAAGTACTTTTAATTTGATCTGAAATGCGCTTTCTGGTAGCAGTGTCTTTCTTCTTTATAGCCAGTTCTTGTCGAGCCTTCACTTCAAATTGCAGAGCCTTCTGTCTTTTTAGTTCCTCATTTTTTATCTGTCCACCTCTTGTCACAGCAAACTTGATCAACTTACTTTCATCTTCTTGTTTCTCCAGCCATTGTACAGTTTTGTTTGTTATAGCTTTCACTTTGCCATCCAAAAATCCAAAAGTAGCATTGGGAGATCTGCGCCACAGATAATCTGTCATCCCAAGAGACCTCTCTGACCAAATGTTGTGGGTTGGTGCTGATGCTGCTTGGGCCAGCATTTCTTTGGATGGCTGAGCATAGATTCCTCCAGCCTGGAAATCTTTTAACTGAGCATTCAGTTTGGCTTGAAATGCACCAGCCAATCTTTCCATCACCATCAGCTGGTAGTCATCTGCATCAGCTACATAGTGATGGAAAGCAGGGTCACCAATGTCATTTCCAAACACATCCTTCGTTGCAGAGAGCATCAACTGAGGATCACTCACGAAACTTAAAAGGACTGTGTTTGACCTCTGAATGTCAGATGCCTAAAAATAAAATAAATAATTAAAATTGAATGAATGATTATATGAATTATAATTATAACTTTTATCAAATAAAAGATATGAGATTCACAATTTTAAACTCTGAATGACCTTACCATTTCTAGATTCTTTCTTTCATTACTGTAGAAAAGACTCATCCAAGGTCCAGTGAGTACTTTGCCAAAGAAGGCTAATGCTTTCAGCTGCTTAATTGTGTTGTCATCTTGTAAGTTATTCAGCAGTGTAGACTTCAAACTTGACTTGAGAGAGCAGACATCCCTGAGGTATGTTTTAAAATGTTCAATGTTGGAAACAATCACACCAGCCATGTGGAAGAGTACTTGCAACCTGTTTCCAACATATCTAACAACTAATCCTAGGGGCAAGTTGTTGGCCCTCAAGAATGTCTTAAATCCAGCGGGATCACCTTTTACTTGTTTATACCTATGACAAAAATAATGAGCTAAGATATGTAAAGAAATAACAAAAGAATTGTGTAGCACAATAGATAGTTGAAAAATATGAATGCATTAAAGAACAGTAATCACCTCATCTGGGAAAGGCCATGAATGCAAGTTACAGCCTTTCCTGCACCATCTAAGGATTCCAGAGTTTTGCGTGCAACCAGTGCTAAGCTGTCTAATGGATGAACATTACAGTTGAGCTCTAAAAGGTGTGTGTTAAAAGCAATGTTTAGTAGTTTTACAGCAGCATGGTTTGAAGGAGCACGATCAGTTAAGGTGTTGGTGATTGCCTTAAATAGTTTCTCTTTAACTGAGTTGACTTCAAGTCCATGGTATGCTGCATAAGTAGTCGCCACTCTGACTAAAGCATCACACACATGGTCTGAATAGTCAACAGCCTTACCTCCTGGGAGATCTCTGATGTTAACAGTGAGGGAGCCACTTTCCTCAGATATATGCAGTTCATTGATATGTGAACCTCCCAGGCTAGTTGCATCCCAAGAAATGGTTATGTTGTTGTTTGAAAGAATACTTTCAGCCACTTGTAAATCTGACAAAACTCCCAATTCATACGCCATCTGAGCCACTGTGGTTGAATGTGGAAGTCTTGTTAGTATTCTGCCAGTCAATTGCTTAACAACATATGCAACTACTTCAGAAGCTGAACAAACAGGAACATGATTGGTTAAACACATGAACATGGATTTACGCATTGGAGCATTATACATTTTTTCTTCTACTGGATTTATGGTTTCTTCTGGTATATTTTCTTCAGCCATGGCTTCAAAATATTCAGCACATTCTAGGTTATGGCTGGATTCATTTCTTACAAGATCAATCTCTTTCATTACATCGGCAAGTTTGCTTTCTAGATCAGTGATATTTGTTTTAAGCATACTGATTTTTGTGTTTAGTTTTTTGTTCAGCTTCTTAATATCTTTGTAGCTCTTATTTACTGGTTTAGGAGCATTTGATTTTTTTAAGTTTTGAAGCTCTAATTTCAACTGTCTGATTAATGCATTTTTTCTCATCTTGTCCTGATTGATTTTATAAGGAGCAAAAGTATGTTTCAAGTTTTTGTTCGCAGCTTTAAGATCATGTATTTGTTTGTACAAATCTTTCACAACTTTTTTGTTCTCAGTATCCAATGCGATGTTAATTTTTCTCAGTTTAGGGCAGTTCTCACAATCTTTCTTTAATTTTTTAGCTGGACTATGGGATGTGCTGACAGTCTGTTCTTTTATTTCCTTACATTTTTCTGCTCTCTTGCCTTTAGGTATAGGTGCTTCAAAAACTTTGTCAAGTAGGGCCACAATAGAACACCAATTAGTAGGTCTATGAATGTTTTTCTTCTTTGTTGAGAGTTCTGCAAACATTTTTTTAACCTTGTTGGCAATAACTAATCCACTGAGTTCTTGATTCATCAGAACATCTAGTATGAAGGCAGATGTAGCTGACATATTTTTGTTACAGTTGTAGTAAAAATACAAAATATGGCCATTCTTCAATTCATTTCCTTGGCTGTAGTCTTTGTAGGTGCTGATAAGTTGATCAAAATCCTTCAAAGTCCTTGTACTTTGAGCAAAGTCAGCAGTTTCCTCCACAACAGCATTAGTTAGTTGCTCAACATGCTCCATTTTCTGGAAATTTAGACTTAAAACACAATGTTAACAAAGCAAAAAAAAAAACAAGATTTACTGTTATGATGAATATAAGTTATAACAGAGAAACGAAATCTAACAAAAGAGGTGTAAATAAAAAAAATATTAACAATACTTTTAATTTAATCAATATTATTAATACAAAATGAATCTAGAATATAGAAGAATCTATGTCCAATTTAGATTTGGTTTAGCTCTAAACTTTAACTAAGATGCTGTAAATTTACTTTTAAAAACTATCAAAACTGATGTAACAGCACAACTGTTCAATTAAAAGTTAAATGTAGATCTTATAATGATCTAGAATCTAGATAGATCTACTACTAAAGACTAAAAGTATATAAAGAAATTGCGTTAGTAATAATGTAAAACAAAAAAAAATGTTAGTTGAATAACAAAACTAGTTACAAGAATAATAGTTTTTCAAATGAAAGAAAAAACAGGCAATTGGAATTCAATTGAGACAAATAGTATTAGTATTAATATCCTAATTATAATTAATTAAAACTAATATCAAATGATTAAAATTCAAGAAAATCTAAAACAAAGACCACACTACTACGTTTTTTTACTTTTAAACGCGAGTGCGGAAAAAACTTAGAACTGGGGCAAATGGCTTTTAACAAAAAAAACTGTGTTAAACACAATAAAAACACAAAAAAAAAACGAAATTTAAGAAAGAAAATGGATAATATATAAAAAATCTAGCTATAAAACATCAATTATTGAATAAATAGAGTGGATGATCGTAGATTGCAAGTAATTAATGCAAAGCATAAAAAACAAGCGAAAGTGTCAATCGTAAGATCTGGCAACTTCCGGTTAAAAAATTAAGGAATTTCAACTTTTATAAAGTTACTTCCGGTTCTACTTTCACTTTGAAAATGTAAACAATAGATGCCCCAAACAGTACACCTAACTGTGAAGCGTTTTTCAGCTGAGAGACACATCCAAACAATACGATTTTTAAAAGAGATAGACAAAAATGGATAAGAATGGAGATTTTGCAATAAAATTTCAAGTAGAGCCCATAGAGAAGTTTAGGGAATAAATCAAACTTACCTTATTTTCAATGAAACACTCCATAAAAAATAGTCCATGAAAATATTTTTAAAAAATATATAACACGCTAAGTCCATTTTTCTTCAAAAAAATACTCCTCGCAATAAAATTGACCAGGCGAAAACGGAGAATGATAAAAATTACGAAACACTCGCACTCGCGCGTCCGCCAACTCTCGGTATTTGGGTAACGGGAGGAAAATCTCGCCGCGCATCGTAAAACGGGAGCCAAATCCTAGTACCTAGCAATAAGTCTGTACTAAGGGACTAGAATAGATCTACATTTTGACAGATTTGTTGTTTACGCTCTGTAGATTTCATTGTTGCTTGTCCAGGAATAAGTAAACTAGGGCCATATTATATTATCATTAATGGATTTTGATACTCTTACAGTCTTATAGAATGGTTGAGAATAGTTGTTAACAAAAGGTATAGGCCTAACAGTTCATTAAATATTCTCATAACATTCACCCATGTTAAATTTATTTGTCTTGAAGCACACTAGAGACTAGCACAGAATACAAATGCCTTAAAAGCTATGTTCCATGAGGGGCAGATTTTTAACATTTTTTTAAGATTAGTTATATTCTTTTTTTATTATTTCAACCAAGATTTTTATATACATGTCTGGTGTTAGCTATAAAAACATAACCTCAATGAGCAGAATTAAGAATTTTCTATCATTGTATATCTGTTCAATTTTTTAGACTTCATTTCCATAATTTTTTTATTAGATAATTTATGTGACTTGAATGGCTACACATTTTGATATGATTTGATATGAAAATTAACTTTTTTTTGTTTTAAATTCCAGGTGCTGGCCTCATATACACCAAGTTTGATGTAGATTGTGTACCTTGAACCAGTTCCTCAAGAAACTACAATCTTGCTTTTAAAATGTTCAAAATAGAGCATGAAGGATCAATCAAGGAAAATCAAAATGATTTGGAGAAGCCTGCAGACGAACAACATGACTCAGCAAAGCCAGTGGAAGAACAAAATCTTGGAGAGAAGCAAAGAGAAGAACAACATCACACACTGTCAGAGGACAAACAAAATCATGCAGATAAGCAAGAGGAAAAACAAGATAAAGGAGAGAAGAAGCAAGATGACGGCTTATACAAAGTAGTTCAAGAGAAATTTAGACTGGTTAAAATGAAATACGATTGTATTAAAGAAAAGTTTGATGCCATCAAACAAGAATACGATAATGCAAAAAAGGAGTATGACATTGTTAGGGAGGAAATGTTAAAATTTGCACCAAATCACTTTTTAGGTGAAAATGCTGTAAAAGTCGAGTGTGAAGATGATGATGGTTATATGGACTTTGTTATTGAAGTAAATGACAGCTCAAAAGATGATGATGACGATGATGTAGTCCAATTCAGTAACATTAAGCAGGAGATGGATGACAGTTACACTGGTGACAATAACAACAGCACTTTAAGCTCACATGATGATGATTCCCATCTAGATATCAAGCCTGTCTTGTCAAATAGAAACTTCCATGGGAAGTGGGGTTTTCAAACTAATGGAGGTATCAAAACAGAGCATCAGATTGCTGCACCTGTTACAAAATCTGAAAAGCTCCTAAATGACCTGGGTCATGGGCTGTTTCAGGTGATTTCTCCTGGTCTTCATGATGAATCTGATGATAGCAGTTTTCGTGTTGTTAATGGGTGGAGTCTAAAGAAATCTAAAATTGGGATTTCCCCCAAGGTGCCAAAAAAAAGAAAACGTTCTTCAAAAGCAATAATTGAGAATTCTGATCTTCAGAATCAGGTCATGTTTGAAACTCCACCCTATAATAGGAAAAGCGCCTATAAGTGTGATGTTTGTGGTGGTGTGTTTGCTGGGACGTACAACTATAACAGACACAGAAGAATACACACAGGAGAGAAGCCCTTCTCGTGTGATCTTTGTGGCAAAGGATTTGCCCGTAAAGACAAATACACAATCCATTTTAAAGCTCACTGTATAAATGAAAACAGCGCACCTACAACCCCGACAGAAGCTCCTGTACAAGTGCTTCACGAAGAAGCTGAACAGCCTAAAGATAACCCAGAGCCACCTCAGGAGAGCATGGACAGCGAAACAATTAATTTCCTGGAAGCTGATCAGCAGTCTATTGAGCAACAGATAGCGGAGTCTAAGATGATGTTTGATTGTTCTGAGTGTGGTAAAAGGATTAAAGGTCTTCCAAATTATACCCGCCACAGACTCAGGCATGAGAATAGGAAGCCTCATGAGTGTGAAGTATGTGGGAAGGTGTTTTTAAAACGCTACAGCTACAACCGGCATATGACGATTCACTCTGGATTAAAACCGTTTGAATGTGATATATGTGGTCAGGGGTTTTCGCGTAATGACAAACTTATTGCTCATACTAGACAGCATAAAAACCCAAGAATTATCGATGGTGCTTCATTCAATTGTGATATTTGCGGCTTCCAGTTTATGCACAGTTACACATTAGCAAGACACAAATTGTTACACGCGCCTGGTCAAAATCCTTTCAAATGTGATATGTGTGGCATGCTTTTCAATCTGGAGTCCAACCTTACTCGCCATAAAGAGAGGAAGCACAGGGACGTCAATCCTTATAAGTGTACAGAATGTGGTGCCAGCTTTTCTAAAAACAAGGATCTAACCAGACACAAGCAGGCCCATGTTTGTAAAAAGCCACACAAGTGTAATCAGTGTGGGAAAGGATTCGCAGAGAGGTACCAGCTGTCACTACACAGGAGGTCGCACAATGCTTCCAAACACCACAAGTGTGATGTGTGTGATAAGACTTTCCAGGAGAGGTTAATGCTTTTAAGGCATGAGCGGGTACATGAGGAGTTGCGCGATACGATGACTGCAAGGCCTTATAAGTGTGACGAGTGTGGAAAAGGTTTCCCGGACCGTTCCAAGCTTGTCAGGCATAAGAGAACACACTCGATGCAGAGACCTCACACGTGTGATGTTTGTGGCAAAGGTTTCCCTGTACAGTCGAAGCTGTTGAGACATCAAGCCACACATCTTGTGGAGAAGCCTCACAAATGTGACATTTGCGGAAAAGGGTTCAATGAGAGATTTCGTCTTATGGGGCATATTGATAGAGTTCACTATGGTACACAAGTGTTTCAGTGTAATATTTGTGAGGAACCTTTCTTTGAAGAAGAAGAATTCATTAGCCATAAATTAAGTCATTCTGCATCGTTACCAGAGGTTGTTGAACAACCCAACTAAGTTCTGGGTTATATTACAGTGAGGTCTGATTCTTGATTGGCTAATCACATTTTGTTCTGAAATTTGAAATCATTGTAGTTGTGAAAGTAGGCTTTGTTGAAACTATAGTTTGTTAGGTTTTGTCTCTAATGCTTCAATTCATTCCCATTTAATTTTTTTTTTTGGAGAATTTAATATTTACTTAATTGTGTATGAATGTTGTCACTCTTGTTTTGTTGTTTGTCATGTTTTGAAAATATATTTATAGTGTATTTGTTTTATAAATACCAATATTCTAATTCCTAGTATTTATTAAATGATGGTAAAAGATTACAGTAAGTTAATCTAGCCTGTGTCACAAAAGATTATTCTATTTCTAGCTAGATTTATAGCATTTGCATTAATTGTAAGATAGTTGCATCATAGAGAAAATATATTTTTACACACATTACCTTTAGTTTAAAATTTGTATAAGCTAAGTATAGTATTTTTTCAATTACTTAAATTACTATTTAAGTTCTGTGTAAAAAAAACAACTTACTATTGGACAGTCATGTTAAATATACTGTTTTTTTTATTACAGTTATATTTTATGGTTTTAAATTATTTGAATAAGTAAAACTCAGTTTTATTAAGAGAAACATTTATATTTATTTATTATTTTTTAAGTGTCTAGATCTAGCAGTCAATAGTGTTGGCAGGATTTTCTCAAGTGAAGGGATGTTTAGTATAATTATATTGTGTTAGTGGGTCTGAGTATGTGCAATGGTGGCTGTTAACCAGTAACTTGTGGCCAACTATAAAACCTGGTATTTCATTCAAATATTTTTTAGCATGTCATTTTGATTTAATGATTGTTTAACCAAGTCTGAAAATACAAGAATACAATGTGTACTAAAACATAGTTTTAATTACATTGCTTAGCTACCAAGATCTATAGGCTTTTCTTGGCCAATTCATCTACACCAGCGGTTCTTAACCTCGGTTCAATCGAACCCCAGTTGTCATGTGAAACAGTCACAGGGGTTCAGTTCAGTGGAGGTCAAGACACACACCCAACTCTATGATTCACAATCAGATTTTGTCAGTGTGGACGATAGAACTATTAAGAAGGGTTTGCTAAGTGCTCATATGAGACTGGTGAGGTTCAGCACCCCCCAAAAAAGGTTAAGAACCACTGGTCTAGAATCTCATCTACTGGAATCACAATTAGAATATTTTGCAAAGCCAAATTATTTAGTCTATCCTAGTATTTTGCTTACATTTTTAGCAGCCTCTATGTACAAAAAGAATGCTGCTAGTAGTTGTAAATGAATAATGATGCAGTAGTTTGTGTACTGTTTGAACTATTGTCTTACATCTGAAATGCCTGATAAGCAATGTGCAGTACATTTCCTTTATTAGTTATGTTTTACCACTAAGTCCGTCTCTTATTTGACTTGAAGCAGAATCAACAATCAGGGTTATGTGGCATTATGTTACAGGCAGCATTGTATTTGTTTTCCTGTTTGAGTAAGAATAAGTAGATCTACATGTGTCAAACATGACTAAAAATGGTAGTATATTCTGATCATGCATCTTTCCCTACACATCCAAGAAAGTATTTTTATTTTAATCTTCAATCAGTTTTACAGCTGCAGATGATCAACATTTTCTGTTTGTTTTTCTACTTGTACTATGCATTATCATCATCCTTTCGTTCATTGGCACAACATTTGTTTTTCTACTTATACTATGCATCATCGTCATCCTGTCAATCATAGGCACAACCACACATATCCACTACTCCTATTTTGGATTCCTCCAATGCCGTCTGAAATTTTGGCCTGCCTACTTTCCTTGGGGATTTTTATCTTATAGGCCTATCTGTCTTGTGTTGTCTGATGGTTTGTGCAAGGTGGGTCTAATCCATCCCAATTTGTGTTTATATAATTCTTTGCCAATAGGGTTTCGCCTAGTTATTTCCATAGTTTGGTATTGGTTATTGCCTCAGGCCACCTGATGTCCTATAAGTGACACATGCATTAATTTTAAAAGTCTGAGGACCTGTTATTAACTTATTGCAAAGAATTTTAATACTCAGTGTCTAGGAGAAACATGAGACTCTTTTAAATGAGAAACCACATTTTTGAAACTCATCTGTCATTTCTTTTTGAGTTGTTGGCCTTGAGTTATTTGTTTGAACACGGGCATAGAAATGGAAAAAAAGGCCTAAACGTTATCTAATACTATCTTTTATACATCAGGCCAAAATCCTTATACAAAAAAAAACAGCCTGTCATTAGCATAAGTAACAGGTGAAGATAATGTCTTTATGGAAATTTCTTGCTGAAATCATTTTCACTTGGTTTCAATTTTCTTTTTCAACCCACTATCATTAGGCAGTAAAATTAAAAACTCAGGGAATGCTAGGAAAGATGTTAATAAAGAACACATTTATTAGTTAAATATATTTTTTTTATATACAAAAGAACTAATATTTAGAAACTGTCTCTTGGAGTTGATTGATAAATTGCCAATCCAAAATAGCATCAGCTATTTGAAATAGCGGAATAGGTTAATAAAGCTGTACACATTGCCATTTTGTAATTTATTTTAAATATGTGGGAGTTTTTTTAATGATAACCACCCCCCCCCCCCCCCCCCCATTTAGAGTGGTATTTAGTTTCCTGAAAGCATAAGATTATTTACCTGAGAATCTGCTCATTAATTTTAAGAACTACTGTTGGTTTTAATAGAAAAAACCTGAAAGATATACAATAGTAATCTTGGGAGAAGGAGTGAACTTTTTCATATACACTAAGGCTTATTGAATAAAATAATTTACTCCAGTTAATTCTTTTAAATTGTAAAATTCATTGTAAGTAGTCAGAGTAGATATTTTTATATTTAATTTTTTTTTTTAAAGTAAAGTGATTTCAGTACAGTTAAATAAACTAGGTAAGGTTTTTATTTTAAAGATTCCTTAAAACAGCAAAATTTGTTTTTTGTGATAATGATGTATTCTATCAGTGTTTTGTTTTTGTTTAGAAAAATACTAAGTGTGTGAATTACCAGTTTTGATTGGCACTAAGAGTTACCATGTAACTGAAACCTCTAGGGCTAGATGTATATATTTTAAATAATGTCATATTACACCACAAACTGTAAATATGTTGTTTTATTTTGAATTTCTTGCCCTTTACTGAAACCAATTATGTCTAATAAATAATAAAAGATTTTTTTATATAAAAAGGTGTTTGTTTGAAGATTTATTTAATTAAGAACCTACCATTAGGCCAGTTTTAACTACCAACTTCCAAATTATCTCTTGGCTTGAATTGTATTTGAGACATGATCAAGAGAGCCTTCAGTGGCTAACCTCAACATTTAAAACAACTCCTGGAGTTTAGTTTGTTCTAATGGGTCTAGAGCAAGGTCTCCAAACTTTTTAGTCCGAGGGCCGCATTAATTATCAAATTTCAGTTGGGGGCCAGTTTCTTCCGGGCATGTCTTTGATTTTTCTGGGCAAAGTTCCTCAGCCATCACCAACAAACGTTTTTTCCGTGGACAAAAAGATCTCAGCGGGCCGGATGAGAGGACCTCGCGGGCCGTAGTTTGGAGACCCCTGGTCTAGAGGAAAGACCACCTCACATCTATAATCCTTGCGGACTAAGAAACAAATTTCCTTTGTGGGCTGTCCATGTTGTTTTATTTGTTTTGTATTATGTTCTGACCCAAACAATAGTACTAGACTTAAAACTAGTATGTTTGTGAATTATATTTGAAATATGATGACTGCTATGAATGTGCCCACTTTGGCAAAATAATTTACACAAGCTGACCACGACGTAGTATATGTTGCCATCTAGTTGTTGTATTTTCTGCTTATCAGCAATTCATAATTTGTGAATTCAACACTATCCCTTCCAGCCCAGTGAAAGCAGCTGTTTACAAAGAAAAGATCTATCAGAAATTGTTACCTCCCCTTCGTTTCAAATTGTTAAATACTAAATAATCTGCCCATAATGGCCGTCACTAACCCGGCTCTACGATTGTAAACATTCGGGGTGAACCACAGCTCACCTTTCAAGTGGGGATGAGGGTGGTGGTTAAGCTGCAGGGTGTTTACTATGGTCTCCATGAAGAGAATTATATATATCGATGCTAAAAAGTATACGAGAAGTCCTCAAGCATATCTTGCTGTCAGCTTTATAAAAAAAGTTGCTTTTATAACATTTTTACTTAAGTGTCAAATAATACACTTTTTTTGTTCTAAGATTAATGACAAAATTCAATTAGCACAAAATCTTTCTGACGTGAATTAGCAGGTTTTGCAAGTGGACTCCTCATGTATAAACTGGTGGAAAAAAATCACACCTAGAGCTAACAATTAATTTGGGTGGTGTAGATGGACTTGATAAAAGTTTCCCAAATTTGTGGTCTACCACTCAGTAGCTCAGATCCACAGCAAACAACCCATAGAAAAATTAAAGAAAAACTTCCATAGTCTCAACACAACTTTTATTTCTGTCAAATAAAGCTTTGAATGTCAAACAAAATTGATATATAAACATCCTGTTAAAGCCGAACTTTATTAATTCTCAATTCAAATCCTAGCACCTTATTATTTAAAGAGTTAAAAAATTCCAATTGTGTACCTACTTATTAATAAAAGCTTACAAATACAATGAGGTCTTAAAATTTTAGTTAACTTTGTGACATTCTATTTCTATAATCATATTATTTTTAAGTTTAAATGCATTATACTGGTGTATCAGAAGTGTTAAGATGTATTTTTAAAGAAAGATAAAGAAACAACAACTACAGCTTAGTATCTTGTAGCTATGCTTGGTACCTTAGACAATGTTCAGTTCTCTGGAACACGTCATACACAAGTGTTAGGAAATCTAACTGTTGGGGTACCTACTACACTGCTACTGCTTTTTGAGAAAATAAAACACTAGTTTGAATCTAACACAGTTACAGAGATATTCATGCAGTTAAAGTTTAGAAGGAAAAAAACTTACAAGGATAGGAGAAAATGTTTTTACCGAACTATTTTTTAAAATACATGCCAAGAGAAATAATTTTTACATTTTTCTCTATAATAAATTTTTAAACTGTGTAAAAGTAAATGTAATACAGTAAATTATAATATCCAAATAAAGTAAACTATAATATAAATAGAACTAAAATGTTTAGTTCTGGAGTTTGAAAAAGACCAAAGTATTTTGTTTTATTGCTCAACAGGATAAAAAGTATCCTAAAACAAAATCACAAGGATTCAGCCTTACTCAGATGGTTGCCTACTGATTGCTAAGAAAAAAAATGGAGGAAGCGAGGCTACACTGATCTGTTCTGAAGTAATCTCTAGAATTGAAAGTTTACAGAAGTAAAAAATAGAACTTAAATACAAATAGGTTCTCTCTGAATCTTTTCATAAAATAACTTTTTAAGCTGATTATGCTTGGTCTAAGCAAAAGTAATTATAGTAGTTGATAAATTGAAACGGTGTGATTTAGTTATAATATATTAGATTAAGCCACTAAAACAAATGTAATGGTCCTTATCTTCAATCATGGCTAAGTCCCAAAATATCTGAGGTTTTTCATTTTCTATAAAAACATTTTCTAAAAATATGGATTAGTCATGCAAACTTGTTATATAAAGAATTGTAAATTTAATAGTTACAAAAATATTTAAGCTTTTCAAAGATTATAACTCTTACAATGTAAAATATTACAATGTTTAACAATAACATACTGAGCTAATTTAATAATTAGTGAACACACATTGTTCTTAACCAGAGAGTTTTTAACACTACAATTATAAAGAACAATAATGAAAACTACATAAAAACTACACTTAGTTCACAAGGTTCTCTTTAGATAGACTGTTGTGAGTTGAGGACAGGGTCGACAAGAAACCAACACGAAGTCCGTTCACAATTCGTTACTTTTATTGCTTGTAATATCACACAACCTAGGATGCCTATAAGAGAATGGACCCCCTAATAATCCTAACCCCACCTTTTATACCCCGCCTAACATCTAAGTTTTCTGCGCTCTATGTCACTTCCCTCCCAATCGTTCCTATGCTACAAAATGTGTGTGTACTATTTATTTACATTCTTTGATCTGAATATACTAAAATAGACTATAGATTAAAGGTTAATGGAAACATGTAAACAAAAGGGACGCTACTCTAAATCTACGCAAATACTTATATGTAACAATCCTAACATACCCCCCTCCCATAAAGGCTAATAATATATCCTTAATATGTTATTAGCTAGGACATAATATACACCAATAGACAGAGACAAATCTTGTCTTCCTTCTTGAGTCAATATGGTAGCTTGTACAACTTGAGACAGCCAGGCGCTAATAGGAATAAACAAACATACCAAGCTAACAATATTCAGTCACTAAGTCATAATTCGAATGCATCTTAACTTACAATGTACCTTTTCCTTCAAAAAATTTTTTATACTAACATTCATCATCTACTTATCTCAAATTTAAAACACAATAATTATTGTAATGCAAACATGTAATCAAACAGTATCATCATCTTAAAACATCATATATTTACATAATACAGCATTAATTGTAAACCTTTAAATGACCCTCTCCCAGCCCCTAATATCCTCAGTTCCTAGATAAAGTATCTGCAATAACATTTTGGGCCCCAGGAATATGTACAATGTCAAACCTGTAATCTTGTAAGATAAGTGCCCACCTAGTCAACCTAGCATTATGAAGTTTTTTATTTTCTAATGCTACCAAGGGGGAGTGGTCAGTCAGTAAGGTAAAATGTGTGCCCGATAGGTACTTAGACAGCTTTGTTACGGCCCACACGATCGCCAAACATTCCTTCTCAATCGTAGCATAATTTTTTTCTGACTCGGATAGCTTCCTGCTAACGTATACAACAGGATGTAGATGGGTATCTACCTCCTGCATCAAGCAGGCACCGATACCAAAAGCAGAAGCATCCGTAGCCAAAAGAAAAGGTCTGCCTAGATCAGGTAGCCTTAGAATTGGCTGCTCCGCAAACATCGTTTTAATACTATGTAATGTATCATCACATTCCTTAGTCCACTCAATACCCTTGTACCTTCCTTTCTTTCTAGTTAACTCTGTGATTGGGTGTACCAGTGAGGCGAAATTAGGAATAAATTTCCTATAATAGTTGCACAGCCCTATCAAACTACGTACTTCTTTTAGGGACTTAGGAATTTTTATGTCTAGAATATGCTTTAACGTTTCGCCCACAGGTTTTACAGTTTGGTACGAAATCATGTGACCTAAGAATTGGATTTCTGTCATGCCAATTTCAACCTTACTGGGTCTTGCTGTTAGACCATTATTTTTTAAAGCTGTGAAAAGCGCCTGTAAACCAGTGATGTGCTCATCCCAGTTCTTAGAGAATAAACAAATATCATCAAGATAAGCTACTGTATCATTATTACTCGCTAACACCCGTCTCATTAATCTATTAAAGGTGGCCGGGGCATTACTAAGCCCAAAGCTCATAAAATTCCAATGATATAAACCAAAAGGTGTCACAAAAGCAGTAAATTTCTTAGATGATTCTTTAATCGGGATCTGCCAGTAACCTTTAGATAAATCGAACTTAGAAAATTTTTTTTGCCTGCGCTATTTTGATAAACAGTTCTTCCTGGTTTGGCATAGGCTCTGCGTCCGGTATTGTTACCTTATTCAACTGTCTATAATCAACACACAACCTGATCTCGTCATTTTTCTTTTTCACCAAAACGATAGGTGCAGCATATGAGGAGTCCGACGGTTCAATTATACCGGATTTTAATAAATCTTTGATTTCGGCTTGTACCCGTTCTCTATAGTGTAATGGTATATTGTAGGGTTGTAGCTTTATTGGTCGCCCAGATGTTAAATTGATTTCATGTTCTATAGCAGTCGTTTTACCAGGAATGGCAGACAATACGTCGCAGAAGTCGAGCAGAAGTTGTGAAATTCTGGTTTTAATGTCGTCAGGCATTTGTCCTAATTTTACATCCCTATAACTCTCTTGTCCAGATGACACTGTGTGAATCTCGTTGTCATCACAATCTTCAGTGTTGTTAATCATAGCGCAATTTACTGTAGGCGTCACGGTGCACTGCAATATTTGGCAGTCGAATCTAAATGCAGGCGTAGTGTAGATCACAACGGTCGTTAGGAAGAACCATCGGGTGGATGTACGTTGTTCTACTGCGTTGAGCAACCAGCTGCTCCACCATCTGTTGTGAGTTGAGGACAGGGTCGACAAGAAACCAACACGAAGTCCGTTCACAATTCGTTACTTTTATTGCTTGTAATATCACACAACCTAGGATGCCTATAAGAGAATGGACCCCCTAATAATCCTAACCCCACCTTTTATACCCCGCCTAACATCTAAGTTTTCTGCGCTCTATGTCACTTCCCTCCCAATCGTTCCTATGCTACAAAATGTGTGTGTACTATTTATTTACATTCTTTGATCTGAATATACTAAAATAGACTATAGATTAAAGGTTAATGGAAACATGTAAACAAAAGGGACGCTACTCTAAATCTACGCAAATACTTATATGTAACAATCCTAACATAGACATTTCTGTAAATTAAATAGAATACAAGAGTAAAACTCTAAAAAAAATTACTTAAACACTGTATAAGGCTATTTTCTTCAAACCATACCAAAGATATAAATCAAATCAAAATCAAATCAATTTTAAGTTATAGCTGAATAATGACTTTACTGTGTTCAATGCAGAAACATTAAAGTTTTGTTTTTAGTCTAATTAAAAATTGTTAACTAAATTTGTCAACTTCAAATTCATGCAATAATTATTTTTAAAAGTACAACATATAGCATGCACTGTTTTATTAAATTTGTTGAATTTTCATTAAATCAAAACAAACAAAAAAAATAGAGAAAAAATGTAAAACTTAAAAAATAACTGGAGTCATTTAAAAGCAATAATGTAAATAGGATTGGCAGCTAAAAAATCAATGTCTTTTCTACAAGCTTTTGTTTGTTAGCTTTAAAAAAAAAATGGAAACTTGTACATTCTAAAAACGCCAAAACCTGGTAAAATATTGTAGGAAAAAAGGGGTGACAATTCAAAAATTTCCTGCAAATTTGTTTACATTATTTCTTATGTGGTTTCAGTAAATTATTAAGAAAAAAAATGATTGATTTGTAAACAAAGAACTAAAAACAATACATATTTCTTTTTACTACATAGTTAATTCACTGTTACTAAAATGAAAATAAAATTGTCACCTTCTATCAGGAAGTAAATAACATGAAAAAAGATTCCTAGATTAATTCAACCAAATAAGAAACCTTTATTTGATATAAAACAACTCAAGGCAATTACTTTAATGTAGTGTACATATAAGAGTGAAATAATTTATTGACCAAAATACTACATGAGCTAAGCAGAATAATCCAAATGATTAACCCCTTTGTCTAAAGATATTTTTTTTTTACAAAAGTTTATCTTAAAAAGTACATGAAGACTAAAATAGATATCTTGTCTTACACATTTAACAAAACATTTGTATTAATGTCTGGGTTATTTTAGTTTTCCACACAATAGTATTCTCTACTTTTCAGTTAAGTCCTTTACATAAACTTTTCTAAAGAAACAATCTATTGGGATTAGTAGATTGTTTTAAAAACAATACATTTTTTAATCCAAAGTGGACATGTAAAACATGTTGCAAACAAAAGAAACCAGAAACGTATTTACAAAGTACAGCTTATTTTTTTTATAATTTTGTAAAATGAATTATTAACTGACGTAGTTAATAAAACGATTTTTTTAAAAACACGGATCTAGGGGGTAAGGTATCTGCTTGAACTATATATCATCACACTAAAAATATAACTGGTTCAGGTTGGTTAACTAAGCAACTTTTTATACTAAAACATTAGCATTAATTAATATACAGATAATTAATTTTATAGTATAATCAGAACCCATGTAAAAGAAGATTTTATCTAACTAATTTTTTAGTTATCTGCTAAACATTTTTTAAAAGCAATATATTTTAAGCAATAATGAACAAATATAACTTCTTTTTAAATATTTATTAAGCTAATATTTCAATTTAATTGATGGAAATTTTATAGATACCTTACTATTACAAAAAAAGGAGAAGGTAGTTGAACATAGCGTTAAAACAAACCATGGGAGCACTGTTACTTTGTCACTTAACATCAGAACACATCAGGTTTACTGTGTCTCAACTTTATGGTTGATATAAAATTAAAAAACTTTATTACAAGCAATAGTACACATTTTTGTATCAGTTTAAAATATTTGTTTTTGTATAATATGGTAAATTAAAGTAAAGTGAACAGCATCTCATAGCGTACAGATCAATGGAAAAGAAAAATTAAAAGAGTAATTTAATGACCAAAGAATGAATGCATTAAAAATATTAATTGAATTTAATCTTACTAGGATACAGATCCATAAGCAAAAGTAGACCTAACATAGTAATAAAATAATTACATTCCATATTGCTCTTAACATCCTTAACTTGTATTTTAGAGAAAATAAAGTAAAGGCTTTTTTAAACTTTTTTTTTATATTTTATGGTTAAGAACATATAATAGCATGTATGCCACAAACAAAGCTGAAAATTGACATTTGAAAAAAAAAAACTTAGTTTGATGATTACAATAAACTATTAATTATGTAAATTCACTTAGTAACTAGACAACACATGTTTTGCTGCCAAATCATCATAAGGAGTTGATTGGATAAGCAACATATACATTTTTGTTGTTGTTACTTTATCATTAGTCTAGGAGACAAATACTAAGGTCAAAACAATGTTATGACAACTCTTAGTGGGTTCTCTCCCCACATAACCCACCCAATATTTTTTTATTAACTCTTATTTTCAGGCAAATAAAATTGCATGAATTAGGGTAAACTCATTAATAAAATTATTTTGGTTTCAGAGTGATGAACACAAATTGAATAATGCTAATTTAGTTTGACAGCAAAGCTCTTCATCCACACAAAGTTCCTGTTAAAATACCACATTCAGCATCTTTCGTAACTCAGTGAGACATGTTTTCTTTAGTTTCATGAAAACACTCATGTTGGTTTAACACAGTGATATATATATAACAATTTTCTTTGACACTTCATTCATTTGTCAACAACAAATAACAATAAGTGAAGTCAACAATTAACAACACTTTTACAGTAAATTACAGTATTTACAAATCTTAAGGTTTTTACTTTTCACAACCTTTATGAAAAACTTTATTAAACCTACTGTATCCCATAATTGAAAATACAACTAATTCTGTTACACCAATTTAAATTTATTTTAAAAAGTTTTCAGTGAAAAAAATTTATGATGCGCAATTAGTTTTCAATGCCTACAAAATAAGGATCTTAACATTTTTTTTGTAGTTCCTTACACAACTATAGTTAAAGTTCTAGCAGCATCAGCTTTACTTATAGCTGTATGCATTTTCAATTTTAGGTGACTTGCTAAATGCCTTTTTAAATTATAATTTTTGGAGAAGGACTTGCTACAAATGTGACATTTGTATGGGCTGTCAGTGGAGTGACTAATTTCATGCTCCCGTAATTGCCCAATACATTTAAAACATTTGGTGCAGTCATTACATTTGTAGGGTCTCTCCCCTGTATGGATTCTTTGGTGTATCTTTAAGGTTTGCCTGCTTTTTAAGACTTTACTACATATTTCACACTTGAAGAAATCAGCATCTTTATGATTTCTAGAACATGTGTGTACGCCTGTAATATCGGCATACGTTTTTTTACAAACTGAACATTGATAAGAGTTCTCTTTAAAGTGGGACTTTTGGTGCTTTTTGAAAGATTTTAAAAGAGAAAAATCCTTATTGCAAACCTGGCAATGATGAGTTTGATTCCCCAAGTGGGTCTTCTCATGTTGCTCAAGGTGCTGGATAGTAAGAAAGACCTTGCCACAGAAGCTACATCTGTTGAGATTCTTTAGTGCATGCAGTTTTTCATGTAACTGCAGGAACTGGATGGTAGCAAAATCCCTGTCGCAAACGCCGCACCGATAAGGTTTCTCACTTGCGTGAGTCCTCTGGTGCCTTCTCAACTTCTGCTCATCAAAGAACAACTGATTGCAGGTGGGACAGGATACTAGCTTTGTACCAACATGAGTCCTTACATGCACTTTCAAACTACTGTGCTTTATGAAAGTCTGTGTACAGAACTTACATTTAAATGGTTTACCTTTGTCTTCTATATTTGAGGTTTCCTTTATCAAATGTTTGCTACTTTTTAAAGCCGAGTAATTTATTTGGTATTTAGGTACATTTTTACCAGCATGGCTTAGCTGGTGTGTGTTTAACACTTGCCTGCTTTTAAAAATTTGACAACAAACAAGACACTGGTGAGGTTTGAAACCTTCATGTCTTTTTTGACACAATTTTAAACTTTGCTGATTGGAGAAGCATTTTAAACAAACCTTGCACTTGTACAGTTTTTCTTTTATATGAAACATCTGATGTCTAAGGTATACAATCTTGTGTGTAAAACTTTTTGAACAGTTATCACAATTAAAAAGTTGACTTAGTTTTTCACTGTGGAGAAGTTGATGAATTTGAAGACTGCGTTTCTTTCTGAAAACCCTATAACATACTTTACACTTGTGCCTAGTGGAGATGGAAGGTCTCTGTGGGGTATTCTTGTTTATATACCTGCTCTTAATAAATTTCCTAAGCCATTTAGATTTTGTTGCAAACTGTGTAATTGTGTTATGGGTATCATTTTTGAAGAGTTTTTTTTTGTGTTTTCGTCCTTGAAGTTTATCATTCATTTTGCTCTCTGTAGGTTGATCCAGTGTAGAATCAGGAACTAAAAGATCTGAGTCTTGTAGCATTACAAGAACTGTGGGCATTTCTTGAGATTCAGTAAGGCTGGTGTAAGTAAAGTGTAAAGACAAATTATCATCGACAGGGAGAGTTTCTTCACTGTATGTCTTCAGGCAGGTTTGTGGCTCCTCAACAGAAATATTTTTGACAAAATGTTTTTCTAAAGACCCCAGGAGAATATCTGGCCCCTTGCAAGCTGTTTCATCATTGTAACTATTAAAATCTTGTTTTGTACCTTCATAATTGATTTCTTCATCTTTGTTGAATGATAGTAAACCAAAAGGTCGGTTATCATCCTTGAAATTGATACTCTCAGAACTGAAACCAGTAATACCGTTGTCGTCCATTTCTGAAGTGAAGTATTTAAATCCAAAACTATTTTTAGAACTAATAAAATCTGTGCCTAGCAATGGGTACTCACTCCAGTTGTCCAAACTTTCTGACTCGTCAGGTCCAGTTTTAGAATCTGGTGACAGCAGGAGTTCATCCCAGGGCTTCAGGGGCATATCAAGGCTATCTAATATATCTAGGGGAGAGCTGAAGTCTTTGAAGCTGCTTACTTCTAAATTAAACTGTTCTTCATCTTGGTATATATCAGATGTGCTGTCAGTAGAATCCAAGCTATTCTTACATTCAATATCTTCTAATTTATTTAATCTGAAAAATAATTTAAATTTAGAGTTAAATTTTCACATGAAAAATAATGCACACAAAGTTTATTTAAAAAGTTGAAAACACCAGCTTTCTGACTTCCACTAGAAGAATAAAAAATATATTCTGTGTAATGCACTGATGAACAGTTTCACACCCTTTTTCACAGCTGTTTTAATTACTTCAGTGAAGCTTAGCTTATTTTACTTGATTAATGAGCTAAAGTGTTAATTCCACCAAACTATGAAGGTCTATAGATACAAACCATAAGCTGCATAAAGTGACTGAGTAATGCTGGCTGCACAACCATACAGAACCATGAACCATTTTATTTAGTTTCACTTCAATGTGAAGGTTTAATCATTTTTGTAATCAATATTTAATTGAAGTTAATCAGATATATGGTATTAATAGCTAATAAATTTATAAAGGACTATTGCCACCTGGTGCAAAAAAGAGTTTGTTTCAACTGTCAAGATTGGAATTAACACAAAAAAGTCGTAAATTTCATCTTTTTAAATGAAGAGTGACACAGCAAAGTAGACCTATTTCATGTCATATTACAAAATACATGAATATTTTGTCCACAGATATAGGCCTATAGTAACAGCCAAAAAATATGGTGTAGCTTGCTATTACAGATACCCCATTCCAGTTGATCAAAGAAAATTTGAAGAAAAAACTATACTGTGACTTAGTTGTAAGTGCAATGTTAAAGGGGAAAAAAACAAGAAATAAGTTTGGTTTAAAACTTGCAAGCAGATAACTTACTGTGTTACAACAGAGGGTGCTTGCTTTTTGTGAGACTTTTTAATAGAAAATATTGACGGAACTGCACCTTTCTTTAGCTGTCGTTGACCTGTAAAGTAGAACAATCATTAATATTTCTAAAACAAATGAGTGTTTCATTCACATATGATTCCCCAAACAACTGTGAGATGTTCTCAAAAAAAATGTTTTTACTTCATTGTAGGATTGTAAAATACACACCAAACTGAAATTTTAAAATTGTTGTATGTTGTCTAAACATTATGGTTAAGTAATAAAAAGTAGAAGAGAAAGGAAGTGCTATCAAAATTATAATTTAAATAATTTGAGTTTTGTTTGTGTTAAAAAGGTTAAACTGAACCTGTAAAAGGCTGGTAGACAAAATCCTCCTCCACAAAATGTTCCGAGCACAGGTGCATGTACTGGGTGGGTTTTATACCTTCCCTGTTCATCTTGACAAGCCACTGTTTTAGTAGAGTTTCATCTTTTAAAGGAAAGGAATGAAAGCTAATTTTTGTTTCCCTGGAACTGGCATTTTTATCCCCATTATTGCACCCATTGGCTGAGCAGTGTCTCCCCATCTTGAAAGTGATTGTGCCTGCTACCTCGGCAGCTTTAAACTTGGAATAAAATCTGTAAGGATGTACAAAAAATGCTTAGGCATCTATTCTGAAAGCCTATAACTTAGATAATCTAGTTTTTCAATGAAAATATACTATAAGGTGTCATCCATAAATGATGTCATGTTTTTTTTTATTCTTACTTAATCTCCCCAGTCACAAAAAGTCATACACATCCCTAAAATGTCGTCGCACCTCAGTTTTCAACACCCCCCCCCCTTCCCGCCCAAATATTGCAGTTTTATTTTTTAAATAACATCAATTTATATCTAAAATATTTACTTGAGCTGGGTCAACAGAGTATATTAAGTTCTCTACAATTTACAAAAACAGTTTATATAATGGCTAAACTTCATTTTTTACAATACAAGCAAAAGTGTGATGTCACACTTTCCGACCCCCTTCTCCCTCGTCACTGAATTCCAGACTACCCCTCCCTTATAAAGTCCCTTATGAATGATCCTTAAGCAGGAAACAAATGCTGCACAGCTAAAGCAGCTTGATAATTTTATTTGCATTAAACCCAATCAAGCAATTACTGTCATACTAGCCCTAACCCCAGCTGCAAAAGATCTTAAACCCTAGCTCTAAAATTTCTTAGATTAACTAGATCTATAGGCTAAGTACAATTTTTGTTTGTTTCTGGATTACATTTTCAGAAAACTACTAACATGCCCAACTACTAGTAGGAATGCTTTAATGAATGATATTACATACATCCCACATACGTTCCACCATCAGGATATTTTAAGAAAACAAAATACTCTAGATGAGTAGTAGACAATTAAATAGGCCTACACAGCCTATTATGAATTGCAGAATTAGGGGTCATCCATAAATGACGCCACGCTTTTTTGACAATTTTTACCTCCCCCCCTCCCCTCCGTCACACATTGTCACAAAAAGCTAGACCCCCCCCCCAAAATGACGTTACACTTCAGCCTACAACCCCCCTCACAACTTCAGTAGAATTTTTCCAAAAACTTTTCTGAACTCTCTCAAAATAGAGTATTTTAATCAATTCCTATTACAATTTATTAAAACGGTTTTCTAAAACGTGAAATAAGGTCTAAAAATTAGTTTTCTAACATTGCTTTTTTAAACTGCAAAAGTGTGACGTCGCACCATCTGAACCCCCCTCCCCTCATCACACACTGTCACGGACCCCCCCTTCCCCCTACGAGTGTGGCGTCATTTATGGACGACCCCCTTATTACATAATAAAGGAAAGTAGAGTTGTTATCAAAGTTTGGACACATCTGACAGTGACAGTAGTTAACAGTTATGATTTTATGTTTTGATATTTCCAATAGCCAATATTAGATATGCCCCTAATTTTTTCAAACACCTAATCATTTGGTCATTAGTAAGTTATTTATTAGTCTAACATATCCTGATGTGTCCAATCTTTCCATGTTTATAGAATTTTAGTCTTACCATTATTATTGTTAAATTTATGAATTATTTCACCCTCAAATTCAGCCAGTTAGTGATGCTGCTTGCCTGAATTCATGGCTTTATTATCTCTTCTTAAAAATCATTCCTGTGCTATGGCTATATCTAGATTTCTAATAATTACTGGGTTACTTTAACTAGACTATTCAGTTGTACACTTAGGCTTCTAGTTTCTAAATCTAACTTTCTTTCTTTGTCAAGACTTTTGGTACAACTGCCTGCTCTATCCATGATGATTGGAAACTAAAACCAGACTTGATCTAGATTCTAGACTAGAAATTTAGACTAAAAGCTGCCTAGATCTAAATCTAGGTTTTAAAAAAAAATGATTATCGAAGCTCTAAAAAGTGTGCAAATAAAATCGCTTTCATTTTGACTTGAGCCACCCAATAGGACTCAGTGTCTGTCAAACCAAGAAAAACTGAAATAGTGATTAAAACCTGCTACTCCATTTTATTTGCCTTGGCCTTGGAATATGAACATTAGATCTACCGTACATTTCCTACGCATATAATAAAACTAATAAACCTAGAACAGAATACGGCTTGCATTTGTATTTGTTTAATAAATATCAAGCCATTTAAGTTGTGCAAATCATTAAAAGGCTAGTTTATTTGCATTATTTCAAGTTTAAGTTCTGACTTCAGCTGCAGTGAGAACGACGCCATTTTGAGGCCAAAATGATGACCAAGATAATATTTTTTCCCCTCACTTTTCAGAAAGGATTACTGCAGGCAGGATAGGAAGGTGTGTGTATGTGAAGGGGGAGTGTGGGGGGGGGGGGGGGTGAATGGAAATGTCAGCTATGCCTATGGTTCTAGTTCAAGGCCTACCAAATGTATCTGGAACTACGTGTGTAACTTAGGCCTATCGGATAACGCGTGAAGATCTACATCACTTGGTGTATTGTTGAAATAATTTGTCAATGGTTAACAATCTCTCTTTGTATTAAATTTTTTTAAAAGTAGATCTAGAATACGATAATTGTAGAATAAAATTATAAAAATAGCGATGTAACCATCGCTATTTTTATAATTTTATTCTACATTGTGTGTAGGTAGGTTTTTATAATGAGGAAAAGCTTAGGCCCCAATCTATAAGCCCAAATATTTAGGCCCACATTCTAGGCTATACTATATAGCCTACATACAGAGGCGCATACAGGTTCTATGATTAGTGGGGGCGAGGAGTTGAGGAAAATGCGCTATTATATATATATATATATATATATATATATATATATATATATATATATATATATATATATATATACACTCGCTGTATGTCATTGCTTCGATACGGTGTAAAATATATTCAAAGGGTACTGTGAAGAAAAAAGAACAAAAACACATATAGGCCGCTAAAACAAAACCACAAAATGAAACATAAAACATAAATATACTAATACAACAAAAAACAATAAACGCAATATTGTTTGTGGTCATCCATAAATGACGTCGCTTTTTTTTGACGATTTTTACTTCCTCCCCTCACCTCCGTCACAAAAAGCCAACCCCCCCCCCCCTAAAATGACGTAACACCTAAGCCTGCACCCCCCCCCCCCCCCCTCAAATTTGTAATTGAATTTTTCTTAAAATACGATATTTTTCCAAAGTCTTATCTGTATTTTAATCAATTCTATTCCAATTTATTAAAACAGTTTTCTAAAACGCGAAATAACGGCTAAAAATAGTTTTCTATCGTTGTTTTTATAATGCAATCAGTGTGGCGTCACACCATCTGAACACCGCCCCCCCCCCTCCCCCTCATCGCACGCCGTCACAAAATCACGGACCCCTCCCCCTACGAGTATGATGTCATTTATGATTTATGAACGACCCCTTTTGTAATCCTTGTAAAAAAATAAACATAATGGAATTTTAATTAAAACAGATGCCATTTTCAGGACAGTTTGCGGCTTCTATTTCGGACTAAACATTTTAAATAAGTTTATAAAATTATAACCTTCCACAATGACACTGACCGCCACATATTGTCTGTCTATTTAAACATATAATTTGTATTCATGTTTTACTGCTTGTTAGCCTGGAATAGGCGTTTCTTTCGGCATCTCTTTGAAAGAAATCGTGCTTGGAAGGGATCACACATTTTGATTTCTCTTCACTTGATTCCAAATGTGGTCTTTGTGGTGTTTAGCATCAAGTCTCGTTGCCATGTATTGATGCGTAGCACATTGTCTGCTAACTTCGGGTGATTACCGCCCTTTTTAAATACGTTATAATGTCCCATTTTGTTTTCTGGCCTCTTATACATAGTTTATAGTGTCGTGCTCTTGCTATTTTTCCAAAACCATATCCCCCCAGAGGCGTAGCGAGGGGGGGGGGGGCGGGCGGGGGGGGGGGACATATGTCCCCGGGCCCGACCTTAGGGGGGGGGGGGCGCCAAATTGAAAGTTTGAGGGGGGGTGCAAATGAAAAGTTCGAGGGGGGGGGGGGGTGCAAATCGAAAGTTTGAGGGGGGGGGGGGGTGTGCAAATTGAAAGTTTGTCCCCTGGCGCCGGGAGGGGTCGCTACGCCTCTGTATCCCCCTTCAATGGCGTAGCCAGGATCGTCTCAAGGGGGGGAGGGGGGGGGGTCCAATTTTTACCCGGGGACAAACTTTCGATTTGCACCCCACCCCCCTCAAACTTTCGATTTGCACACCCCCCCTCAAACTTTCGATTTGCACTCCCCCCCTCATACTTTATATATATATATATATATACCGAGGGGTCTATGGGAGGGGGTTATGACCCCCCCTAACCCCCCCCCCCCCTGCCTACGCCACTGTTCCCCCTCCTTATGACGTTATTGGACATATAATTCCATGTGTAAGCCCTGAAAGGGTTTGGGAGGGGGGGTATTTTTTATTTTATTTTTTTGTTTATTGAAACTTGGATTGCATTTAACTGACATTAAAGTAAGCTGTCTTCTAATGACCTACACATTTTATTTTTTAATAATGAACAAAGAATTACATAATTTGGTAACCGATTCATTTAGGCATGTTTAGCTAAACTTCAAGTTCAGCGACAAGCAGATTGGTAACTATAGATCTAGATCTTTATTTATAGAAGGTTGATAATGACATCTTCGTGGACCGTATGCGGCCCACAGGTTGGATAGATTTGACAGGCATATGGATCTACGAAATGAGGCTAGATAGATAGGCCTATCTCAGGGGCGGAACTACAGTGCCGCCAGACCCCGCAATGCGGGGGGGGGGCCCACGACGTTTAGGGGCCCAATTCCGACCAAAAAAAAAAATGAATTTTCCTTTCATAAATAATGTTTTTCGTGCACATTGATAGTAGTTTTGTAAACAACAAACAGGTCTACTGTAGCAGTGATTGTTCTACAGTAACTAACACACACTGTTGCGTAGAAAAATATAAAATCTACAAGAGCTCTACTTTGAAAGATAGGCAAACGTTCACAATACTTCCATGACTTACTGCCCTTCATCAAAACACGGGTGCCCATAAAGCTCATTTAAATAGTTTTGTACTATGTAAATTAAAGAGCCATTTATTCTATTAATTATTATTTAAATGAGGCATACTAAAGAATCCTATAGCTATAAAAATTAATGTATTGAAAACTAATAATATAAATACAAAAAAATCATAAAAATAAACATAACGCGAGAAACCATTTTAAAATCAAGCTTACGTGTTTATATAATTTTGACCAGCCGACAATTTTGTCATATTCTGCGATATAATCGTAAGTTTGAAAGCGGACTTTAAACCCCAAAACAACAACAACAACAATTTTGTCACTATTTTCGGTACAAACATTTGTAAAACACGATTATTCCGCACTCGCAATGAGTTCGGACTTATTGTTGTCTGGTTCGTTATCTCAGAGTGGTTATACATTGAAATAAAATAGATTAAAATACGCAGGTAATAGACTATTTAAAATTTTGAGAAGAGGGCTACTTATACATGTGTGTGTATATATATATATATATATATATATATATATATATATATATATATATATATATATATATATATATATATATATATATATATATATATATATATATACATATAGGGGGGGCCCCAAAAAGTTTTTTTGCGGGGGAGCCTTTTTTTTCTAGTTCCGCCACTGGCCTATCTATGTAGCTAGGGCAGGGGTCGGCAACCTTTTGAGGCGGAAGAGACAAAAGTTACAATTTTCAAAATTTCCCCTGGTTTTAAAGAGCCACTAACATTTTTTCATTTCAAATATTTTATTTTTTTATTAAGATTATTAGTATTTGTTCAAGGAGCTGGAGAGCCGCATCTTGATATCAAAAGAGCCGCATGCGGCTCGCGAGCCGCAGGTTGCCGACCCCTGAGCTAGGGCGAAATCTGTTTTCTATAAATAAAAACGGAACACCCGATTGGCATCGGTAAACAAAAATGATTAATTCTAGATCTATATCTAGAAATCTAGATCTAGACCCCTTTCTTTTGATCGGCGAAGCTCTACAGATCTCGTATTTGCGTTGAATAGTGTAAGTGAAACACACATGTAGTTTAAATATTTTGAGCCTAATCTAGATCTAGATTCTAGATCTTGTAATACAAAATGACATAGGCCTACATATTACATAATCATAATATTAAAATATTTGATAATATTATTAGTATTACAATAAAAAATAATGATAAATTATTGTAAAATTAATGATGTTATTACAAAAGTCGGGTCGCATATCACCCCTCGAGTTGGAGAAAAAGTCACAGGAAAAAAATCACAATATGTAGTATGTAGTAGATCTATATATACTAAAATATATAGATCTAGATCTATATTATATAGTATATGTATCACAATATTGTATATGCCACTATATGCTTATTTAAAAAGTTATTTGCATGGAATTCGTTAATACTTTTACTTTTATGTTTTCAGAAAGTGCAAATCAACATTCAACATACGATTAATTAAATTAATGTAGTTAAATGTAGGCCTAATGTAAACATTTTAGATGCAAGGGTTGTACAACAAACTTTAACTAGTTACTAGATCTAGATCCAGTTACTAGACTATGATTGCTAAAATTACTAGATCTATTACTTAATATTAGATTCTACTACTTGTACTAATATGTTTTTTATTTTTTTACTAAATATTATAGGTTACTATTACTTATCATAATACTCGTACAAATATGTTTTTTTTAAACTAAATATAGGCCTACTATCATACATGCCTCTAGTTATTTTGTATTGTAACATTAAAATTTATTCTAAAAATTTAAACAAGCTATTATAAATAATAAATAAAATCCTTTGTGTATATTATTACATTAGCAAATCTAAAAAGAAAAGTGACATTGCAATGCTTTTTTTTCCAGATTGTTATTAACATCTAGGAACTGATGCAGCTAAATGTTTGAAAATGGATTGAGTGGAATGGCAACATCCAACCAAAATGATTACTTCAGGGGTAATTTTTTAAAATTATAATATCAATGATTGTTTATTTACAAAAAAATGTTGATTAGATCCCCAAGTGTGTATAGGTTGTGATATCTATTAATTGAAGGTCTAATAATTCTAAATTGTACAGTTGTACTAAAATTCAATATAATTTAAAAAAAAAGAACTTTTTAATTAAATATATTATTCAGACAAGACTTGATAATACTAGATATATTTTATTTTTCTTAATTATTTTATAGGAAAAAAAGTACTTAAGGAATCTATGCATATA